GTCTGACAGTTTCACTAATAAGTTTTATAGTTGTTAGCAAAACAACACGCATATGGGCCTGTTACCATTAAAACTTTATCTGACAATGACAATGTATTAAAGTACAAGGCTAGAATGGCTAAACTGGCCTATTTTGCTTCCTGACTTTCTATACTCAGTAACTGACGACAGACATCTCTAAACGTGTAACAGTCAGAAGTAAGAAATTTTGCTTTTGTTTTCGTAAAACACATTGTGTTTTAATAACTGAGTTTTCTGCTCTCTTTTCTTCACATGTATTCAACATGTATGTGTACATTCTGTTTGTTGTGAAGTAAACATGACTGTGAAAGCTGTGGAATGTAATTGTGGCCAGCTTAAATGATTGTGATCAACACAAATAATCTGACCTGCAATCAGGTAATTTTCAACATCTGTGACAGGCCTACACATTACACTGTCTCCAAAAAACCCATATCATTTAGTATGCCTGACATCATGAGCTTAGCTTGTTAAAAAGTTGTCAGGAAAAATAACTACCGTATACTTTTACTAACAAGTAAATCACCAGAGTAGGACGTGCGAGAGTGACTGTCTCACATACTTTTACATTCCCGTGCTGTACAGTTTAACAGTAAGCGTGCAGGTTAACGTCCTGGTTGTTATGTGCGTTTCCCCTGCCCTCTCACTCTCCCCATTGCTCTTGCAAACGTAACGACCTTCTTGCTCCAGACATCTGACCCCCATTTCCTCCTCAGCTGCCCAACCCTTCAGCAAAGCCCTCCTCTTTGCGCCACAGTGAAGCAAAGCGACATTAACGGAGCCTCACGCTGGAATTAGCCCATTAATGTAATGCTAACAAGATGGAATCCTCCTCCCTGGGGCGTAATATTCCACCAGCATCTCCGCAGTTGTTCTTTTTTGTAAATCACTCAGCTTATCTGAAAGGAGGCGATCGATACGCCAACATTACAGTAAACAGATAAACTAGCGCTGCTGTGGGGGGTAAGCGTCTCAGTTGAGTTCCATTACGGAGCACAGATGAGAGAGAATGATTAGTGCATGCTTGCCTATGTCATGCCCTCTTCTGATACTAGATGTTGTAGTGTCTTGTCATGGATTGTACAGCCAAAGCATACATAACGATGGACAAAGTAGGAAATGAGTATGTGAAGTTAAAACATATTGAATTCATTATGAAATTGTCAATTTACAAAGGGTTAGATCAATGAAACCCATGCCAACAATGACATGGCCATAATGTGTCACTTTCTCTGCAGCAGTGATAGACCTGGCTGGCCTAACGGCACCAAGGCTGTTTGGGTTTACAGCTTCCTGGACCCTGGCTCAGGTCTTTGGGGAGCTTGGGAGACATATAGGATTAATGCAAGTCTGCAAAGGTTATCAGAGGTTCAGCAGCTTGTAGCTTTAGAGGCAGAGAGAGAGAGGTAGTGGGGGAGGCCCCAGTGATCGCTCCGACAGTCATCCTGTTCTAATCTCTGTTCTGCCACACATACAGGAAGCAGGAGTGCCGAGAGAGCCATCCACTGGCCCACTGACTGGACCTGGTCTTTTTCAGCGTGCTGCCCACCACATTCAGCCGCCATTCATCTCATGTCAGCTATTCAGATAAACTGAGCAAGGACGAAACATGAGCACTTACTAACTTCAGATGCACCAATATGGAAATCGGGGGCTGCTGATGTTCTCATATTTTTCATATAAATTTCTGTAGATGCAGCTACGGACTACATCAACTTGGATTATCACTGAAGAGAAACAAATGCAGTGAAATGTATAATGCAGATATTTTAGACTAGTAACCCAGCACTGCCTAAACATTCTACTCATTTGGGGTGCAATAAATACATAATCAAATATCAGTTTGAAATATCGGTTGAATCTAAACATCAGTCCGATACTGATATTCTTTTATTTTTAAGCAAATATGTGCCGATTCTGATATGACAGCAATTTTTATTGTGTACCCCTAAACTAAATTTAATCAATCCAGCATTTTTCAGGGCAGGTGTTTATCCAACAGGTCAGGCATTTATCTGTAGCAGCACAGATTTTTTAAGGAACAATATAAATCATTCTTATTATTTCCTTTTAATTCTCCACATTATGCAGAACTCCACCTCCTGATTTTGGAAATTCTGTTGCCCTTGCTTTCACACTCAGCAGAGACTGACTTTTCAACAAGCTGAGGCAGGGATGTGAGTCAGACTCAGAAAGGAGGTGAGGACGAGGACATTCTTTAATCTTTCCGGGGGGCCACTTGAGCATTTGATTGCAACAGCGCAGAATGACAGAAGGGCCTCTGAGATCTGCCCTCCTCCCGAGCCCGTCAAGTGGATCTCTCAAAACAAGAGGGAGAGAACAGCGGAAGTGTTTGACCCGCCAAGTCAGCGCACACACACATAAGCTGGTGTACCAACAGTACACAAAGCGCACGCGCACACACACACACACACACACACACACTAAATCAAGCACAAACCAGTTCAACCCTCAGTTCAGAAACTTCACTCAAGTTCATAAAAATCCATTACAATCTTAAACTTCCTTTCAGATTTTCTGAAATTAATGACTGATTAAGAGAGAGCGAGGGAGAGGGAGGGTGAGAGATTGAGAGAGAAAGAAAAAAAAAAATCAATAAACACTAGATGGCCTGTAAAAGCATTATAAATATAAGTAGCATTCCTCCATTAGGGGAGATTTGGAAAAAAAGCAAATGCTAATGAGGGACAGAGAGGCCATTCTAGTCCATTAAAGGCTCTCTCTGGTGGAAATAACCCTCTCTGTGAGGTTATCTAGTGGCCAGCCTTGCAAACTCCACAGCCACTATTCAAACCCCACTCCCATTTCCCACTGACGTACTGGATAAATGTGCCTTTTGTATTGCAGCAAGTAAAGGAGAAATGGATGACTTAAATGCAGCCCTCTGTTATTTTCTAAACAAGGAGCATTCTTATTCATTATACATTTGTAAGTATTTATGAAAATGTAGGGTACTGGAAAGCGAGGAACTGTCTGAACAGCTCAGACTGAGTTACTCTGAGGAATATGACCATCAATCATGGAGAAAAGAGAGTTTCTCTAATTTATGATGCAGTGGTATAGCCAGAATTTTATTTTTGGGGGGCTAGTTTCAGGTTGGGGGGAAGGACAGCGAGCAAGCATTAAGGCAAATTTCATTACAGATAAACTGTTAGTAAATTTATCTGTTACAATAACTAATGGGGGAAAAAACATTTTTGAATATTAAATACAACACACAATTGTCTCACATTTAACTGGCTAACTGTTAGTTACTGTAACAGCTGACAACACATCACAATGTGTATTGGTTTAGTGCCTGGCATTCTTTAAATGCAGAACATCTTTCCCAAAATGCAAACATGGTGTTTTTGGAACTTACCTTTCACTGACAAAACAAAGACAATGTGTAAACCATAACAGATATTGGTGATACTGGTTGGTTTAAAATGGTTTTGCTAACTGGTTGTAAAGAAATTTCAATCAGGGCAAAAGTGTAAGTCAGTAACAAACAGAGCATGAGCATCAGCATGTTCTAATGCAAAAGGCAGTTGTACTGTCAAGCAGGTGGGGGTCTACTGTACTGGTGGCATAACTACGATCTTATGGGACCCCGTGCAAAAACATTTAATGCCTCCCACCATACAAAAATACTTTAAATAAAAAAAATTGTAATTTGTTTGTTTATTCGGTATACATCTCAAACATGTTGACTCAAGGCATGCCACTCCAACCACTACCATGTAATGAATTTGGATTGCTATATAACATTGGAACAAATACAAATAAGTACAAATATAGTTAAAAATAATGCTTTTGTTTGGCAGTGAGATTATTTATTATGTAGGTGAGATGAATACTGTCAGAACAACACAGGTTTGTTTCCTGACTTCTTGCTGCAGCACCGGATTTAATTTAATGAAGTACTGATTAGATAAACCAGGTATTGGATGGTGACTGTAAATGCTACAATTCATCCAAGAGATATTTAGAAAAGAATAGGCTTAGCTAACACACATTCTGGAGCAAATAAACAGTTACCACACAGATAAATAACTTTATAAGATAAACAATAGATGATGATAATGATACCTATCCATGAAGTATAACAGCACCATAATCAGCTCAGTCCAGTGTAAACAGTACGGCATTCCATACAATATTTTAAATACTTGGACATATACAGTTAGGCTCTGTGATGCCTTTAAATGTAAAAGTATTTTTGTATTCATGATGAAATGTCTGTATTCCCTAAGTACTGCGCAATGTCTCTAAAAATATTCATTTAAAAATAAAATACTTTAATCAGCCAGAGTGGAAAATACAAAAATATAAGAAAAGGGTTCCACATGATTGACATGATTCCACATGAGGACTTCCCTGTTGGATTCTGTTTGTGTAAAACCAGTAGTAAGACAGCTAAGCTAGGAAGCAGAACCAGGACTATTTTTGTAAAACGCAGAATGTGCCATCATTAATGAAATCAGTTGGCTAGAGTCTGAAAACCAGTAACGGAGATCATCTCAGTCAGTGGTGAATTAATGCGATATCCTGATGTAGGGAAATGGCCTACTGCAGTAGCAGCTAGTTAAGTTTTCAGGTGTAGAAGTGAGTAGAGGAGACTAAAAACTGACCCTCTCTCTTTCTCTCTCAGCTCCACCTTTCTCTCCGCCTCTTATTTTGTGAAGTTGTAAACATGAACTGTGATGCTGTAGGCTAGTTAACTAACTGAGCTAGCTAGCCAGCTAGGTGTACTGCACATCTCTGATGTAATACCGTTTATTACTTGTACATGTGCTTTAAGAAGATCTATCATGTGAGAAATCAGGGGGCGGGTGGGGGGTGGGGGGGGTAACGTATTAATGGATGTGCTGTGCCTAGCCCTCCCCCTTTTAGTTACGCCACTGTATTGTACTGAAAGTAGAGCGAGTGTGTGAGTGAAGATAGACTTTTCTGCCTTGGGAAGAGCTGGTACTTACTTGAGTGGAATGCGTGGGATGGCTGTTGGAGTGGAGGCCGCAGTGACTACCTGCAGAATCTGTTCCAGGGCAGACAGACCCCCTCCGACCTGAAAAGCTACCTGATCTGCATTATTCTGAGGAGAGGGAGAGAGAGGGAGAGAGAGGGGGAGAGAGAGAGAGAGAGAGACAGAGAGAGAGAGAGAGAGAGAGAGAGGAACAGAGCGGGAAAGAGGGAGAGGGAGAGGGAGAGAGAGGGAGAGAGAGCGAGAGAGCGAGAGAGAGAGAGAGAGAGAGAGAGAGAGAGAGAGAGAGAGAGAGAGAGAATGAGTCGGTCATGAACATGCATGCAGAAGCAAACGAGTAAAGGTATCATGTTGCTCTCAGTGTGGAGGGATCCACTCTTACTCTCCCCACCTCCCGCTTTGCAAAAGGGACTGAGAGTGAAATCTGAAACAAAGTGATCCCCAAAGAATTCCTGCTAAATCTCAAAAGTGCACAACCCTACCCAGCCGACCCCCCCAATCCTGCCCCACAGCCACCAAACCCCAACACAGGACAACAAATACGCAGACCTGCTCACGAAGCAGGGGTGGTCTGGCCTGACAAACAAGAGCTTAGGGAATACAAGGGCATGGAAGTAGGACACAAAAAACAAAAAAAAATACACACCAAAACCATAATAAAGTCAAAAAACATACATAATGTCATGCAGAGATCAGCAGAAAAAGTACAAAGCCAGCTTGTTTCAAATACAGCATTCAGTGGTTGCTTATCATAGATAACAGTCATAAAACTTTTAAGAGGGGGTCAACCAAACTGTGTCTGAAACTCATATGGTGCGGCTGAGTGTCCTTGACTAAAAGAGGACATAAACCAGTCATTTAACTGACGTGCTTTTCAAATCAAACTGTTTACAGACGTGACATTTTTATTTGCATCATAAAATTCCTTCAAGTTCAAAGTGGGACCCCTTTAAGTGAGTCATGCGTTTTAAGACAAAGATCCCCAGATCTCCTTGGCTTTAAGCTGAGGAAGGAAGGAAGTCTCTCAGAGGCGGGCCATGGCTCTGACCCAGGGCTGTCCCAACATATCCTCACCCTACTAAAAAATTTGCAAAAAAGCAACTTTCTGGGAGAAGAAAAACAAACTATTTCACTTATCTTTGATCCATTCGTAAAACCTCAAGGTACTTAAAGTAGATTTTCCACTTACAAAGTTCAAGGAACTTAAGAAACTTAAACTGAACAGCCAAATAAAGTAAATAAATACGTAAGAAAAAGGAAAATGAACAGGTTTGCTTAAGTAAGTGATGATACACATTGACAAATCCAGCTGTGAGAGTGACAGGGCAAACTTTTAGTGAGAGCTGAGAAGAAGTCTCCCACTTCTTAATGAGGTCAGAGTTTCCTACGCTGTGTGACAGCGTTCAAAGCCAGGCACTTCATGGTGTTTTTGTTCAACGGACGGCGGGGCTGCCAACAAGCCTGAACATATTGAGCGCTGAACAGTGGAAGCGCTTTGCAAAATTACACATAAGCTCCTCTTCTGTCAATCACGGGCGCCGCCAAAGAGTAATTCCTGAAGATCCGGTGGCAAAAGAAGGCTGAACCCTGGCAGGGTTAAGAGATTGGAACAAGCACATTGTCAGGTATACCAAAGGTAGTGCATGCTGAACGGTGGGGAGGATTAAAAGGCCCTGCACAGCTCCATCAGCCTGTAGGCCGGCAGGCACAGACTCCCCACACTGCTCTGGGCCTCTCAATGCCTTATCAATAGAGCTAAGAGCAGTGTGGCAGGCTTAAGAAAGCGCTTAACTCCCACAGCCCTGCCAGGATCAGTAGGCCAGAGGGGAGGGAGGGTCAGTCCTCTCCTGGTGGCCCGTTTAAGAACGGGGTGCAGGGTTTAGGTAGGGCCAGAGATCAGATCAGAGGGAGATGTGTTACACCTGGATTACTGACAGATACCTGCTCCAACCACATTACATGAAATCAAACGCAGCTCTTACACTGACAACACGTGAAACACTGCTGTCAAAAGAAAACTTCAATTTTTGATATTGTATTCTAAAGCAACTTTAAATGGAAGTTCCACCAATTTAATATTTATGCTTAATAAATTCATTAACATGTAAACAAAGTCATTCAGAGTGGTTTGATGTAAAATACACAGCACTAGATAAACTTAGCGTAATTGTTTACAGCAGTTGTGAAAGGAACCAGACTGAAGAGTTTAATGCCTCTTAAAGCTCCCTCACTGAAATACGCACAAATACACTGCCCGATGCCAGAGTCTGACACATTGTTTTAAAATAGTTTGGAGATTTGGCCTAAGAAAGGTACAGCACGTTGCACAAAAGAAACTTCCACCCCCTCCCCCAGATTTACCACTATTTTACCATCATCAACATTACATATAAAACTAATAAGACACCTATAGGTTTCTTGGACGTTTCGGACAGCAAATAAAATGGCTGCATTTGTATTGTGACTCCTGGTTCCTGTCATCATCACTGTAATGAAATCAGTTGGTACATTTTTTCTTTCTTTTTTAATGCACCATTTCATACAAAACCACTCTGAATATCTCTGCTTGCATCACAACGGCTGAATTACGAAGAAATCGAAAAATGGGTAGAATTTCCTTTTAAGAAAGTCCCTTATTATTAGTTTTTTTTTTAATCCAAATTTTCAGTGGAAATTTGACAGTTTTCCAAATGTTCAAACTTCACTTCTTTAAAAAAATTACAAATAATAACAATAACATAAAAATGGAAGCTTAAGCATCTTGAAAGATTTGCAATGTTTAATTTCTATTGGTCTATTTTTTATGAAATGATCTGCATTTCATTATCACCCAATGCACATTCCAGATACTGCCTCTCATGATGTAGGCCATATTATTCACTCTCAAGTCCATTGTTACCAAATGTTGCCTTTGTACACTGCCCGAGGGACTCCTCCTCTAAATTCTCTGTCATCTGGCTTTGATAGCCTTTTTTGTTTCTCAAGAAGCCACGTCAACAAAACAACCAAAGTGTATTTTTATTTGTGGTCAGTGTGCCACAGAATTTCTCAGAGAAGCATGAACGAGGTGTTAACATGACGGTTCTGTCTAAACATTAAGAATTGACTTTGCTCAAAAACGTCTCAACTTGGCTGTTAAAATGTGCCTTTTTGAGAAACCAGTGTAAAACTGCTAGTCTTTCTCTTATAAGCTAAGGTTTTAATACTGTTAATATATTTTTTTAAAAAAATGAACTGTCCCTCGTAAGACTAACAAATTCTGTCATTTTTTATAACTTACACAGCTCATGTATGTGGTTGCGCAGTTTAAGCTACTGCAACCTTGCTATTTCTTTTGGGACTAAGAAAGTTTCTTTCTATCCATCTACACAAAATGAAATACAACTTTACACACATGAATTCTGTATTCAGTCATAACTTGCGTCATCAAACTGTACAATGGCATGAAGCGCACAGCTGGAGTGTAATATGATAAAACCTCACACAGTGAGCTGTAAACAGGACCCGTGAGTGATGTACAAAGCTACAGCTGATCCCTGACAGTATGCAGTGAAGGAGCGCTGTCTGATCCAGCTCAAGCTCACCCTTCCCTGCCAGACACTCCATTGACAGAATAATAGGATGAGAGGCTCTGTTTCTCAAACAGAGGCCTCGGACAAAAGACCTGAAGACAGACGAGAGGGCAAAAGGAAAGGGGGGGGTGAGGGGAAGGGTGGAGGGAAGGGAAGAGAGGAACCTGAATTATACCACTTGGAAACCTTATCCAATTATTATCCAGGGTGTCCACTTTAGCCCAGGCTAATCAGAGGGCTGGACAGCTGCTTGTTGCCCTGGTCAGGACAGAGGTGCTGGGGTCTAAATAGCAGGGTGGGACCAAAGCGCCCACAAAATCACACTAATTAGCCTCCATAAAGCCGGAGGGAGGGGATAACTACCAAAACGCTGCATCCCCCTCTTCGCAACAACAGATGGAGAACAACTGGCTGAAGGTTCACTGACGGAGAGGTCCACCAAGGCTGCATCTCTCGCCCATCAATCTTTGAGCAAGCAATCCAACAACATAAACAGAAACTTCATTTTACAGTGACTGCTATAAATGAATGAGGGCACAGGCATGCACAGCCTCAAAAAGAAACACTGAAGTACACAAGGAAAGTAAACAAAAGTCTCCATTTAGTGAAGAGGCCTGCTCTACAATCAGAGAGAAAAAGGAAACGAGTTGTAAACCACAACAAGAGCGCAGCAGTCAACAGAGTAAAAGTTTGTATGTTTACAGGACTTAATGGCATGAAGATAAGTATACAGAAAAGGATGATTTGTGACAGTTCATTTCAAATGAGAAACAGTATGGAGTTGGGTTTATGTAACAGAAAGAACCACCATTCATTAGTGACAAGTGAGGCACAAAATCAAAGGGACCACAGCGACCACAGAATGGTGTTTTCAAAGCAGAAAATCTCAACGTCAGTTGTACTGTTTGTTCTTTCCTGTTAGATTCTGTTACAGGTTGCAAACATTGACCGCAGTACATGCAAAACTTTAAGCAGTAAGCCACAATATAAACTGGCAAGTAAGACACTGCATACAGAAAGTGTTAACCCACGACCGAAGCCTTCTCTTGATGTATTTCCACAGCTGTCTGCCATTTATGCTTATCGTCTGACAAACACACACCTGAGGGGGAAAAAGGAATCTAATACACACTTACATGCACAATACCAGCCAAGTGGAACAAAAGAATTAGCCCTGGAATTACGGTTTGAAAATTACCTTAGTGACAGCACACAGTGAAAGAATGCCGTAACTATGTCCACTGGCTTTCTCTAGGCCTAATCCCTCTAGGCTCTGCCTGCCATTCAGGCAAGACAGAGAGAGCGAGACCCCCTACCCAGCATACACAACTGACTCACACCTGAAGCTCCTGCTATTCATGATGAGACTCTTTTTAATGTAAAACATCTAAATAATTTGATTCAGTATGATTCAGTGACTTACGAACCTCATGCTAAAACCCATAAAAATGTAGGATTTCCAAAGAATTCACTACATTCTTCTAGAGGATTTGCCTCCTCGGGGCTATTAGAGAGTACTTCACGTAAATCAACTCGCAT